AAGCATGAATCATACAGAAATGTTGTTCATATAAAAATAAATAAATATAAGCAACTGTTACAGCTCACAAAGGATTTTGATGTACTGAGTTTGAACACTCTGTTTGGCTAGGGCTTTGATGACTGCTTCTGTCTCAACAGAATCAAAGGCCTTCTTTAAATTGATGACCATTAGACAGAGCAGCATCTTAAACTCTCGCGAAACCTCGATGAGCTTGGTCACTGGGTGGATATGGTGTATTAAGGATTCACCACCAGGATCTCACCATTCTACGAGAAGTGATCATCGATGTAAAAAGAGGGGTTCGGCAGGGGGATACCATTTCACTGAAACTCTTCAGTGCCACCCTCGAGAATGTCATGCAACTACTGGAATGGGAAGAAATGGGAGTGAAGATAGATGATCGGCAACTACACCACCTCTGCTTTGCTGATGACATCGTTCTAATAACACCAAACATCAGCCAAACGGCACAAATGCTGGCCAACTTCAACAATGCATGTAGAAAGGTTAGACTGCAGCTGAATCTTACCAAGACAACGTTCATGAAAAATGAACTAGTCCCTGAAGTTCCATTTGCTCTCAACAGAACGAACATCTCTGAATGAAGTAGCTATGTGTACCTGGGTTGAGAACTCAACATGTGGAATGACTTGGAGCCAGAACTGTGCAGGAGGAAGAGAGTGGCGTGGAGCATCTTCAAGAGTGTCAAAGAAGTTGTTAAGAGGATGAAGAATCTCCGACTCTGGGAACATCTTTTTGACTCTACTGTTCATCCTGCGCTAACACATGCCTCAGAGACCTGAGTCCTATGAAAACAGGATGAGAACACTGTTCAGATATCCCAAAAAGGAATTGAAAGAGCTATGCTTGGAGTATCATGCTTCACTCAAGTGAGAGAAGGAATCCGGAGTTCCGACCTCTGTCAACAATCAAAAATCAGGGATGCTGTCTTATTTGCCAAGGCATCGAAAATCAGATGGGCTGGACATGTAATGAGATGTAGAGACAACCACTGGACTAGACTTGTTACCGACTGGATTGCATGGGACTTCAAAAGGACGTGTGGCCACCCACCTATAAGATGATCAGACTTCTTCGTAAAAACCCTGAACAAATGGTTTGAGGCCCTTCGTGTGCCTGGCGCGAGCAGATGCCATTGGGTTACACTAGCACACGACAGAGACGGATGGAGATATTACAGGTGCCAGCTCAAGCAAATCGACGATCAATGGGATGACAAGTGATGCAAGTAACAAGCAACTTTTAAATTAGTCAATTACTAATTTAGAAGATGTTCATTATCTAAGAAATGCAAATGAGATGTATAACAAAGAGGTTGATTTCTAATGAGCAAAGAGGTGCATAATATTCAGCATTGGTGAACAGAAGGCATATAAGCAACTCACACACCCATCTGATGAGAATGCAAATAGTTATCATGTTCCAGAAGTTCAATTTTATCACTAAACATAACATTTTAAAATGTGTATACATGACAACAGATCAATTAGACTGAAAGAATACTGTGACAGACACAAAGAGAGGTGTTCAAAGACCTTAAAACACAGTACATAATAGGAAAGTATTAGAAATACCTATGTGTCTACTAATGGTAAATAATTACATTTTAATATATATTTAGTCAGAAGATTATAGAGCTCTTTAGTTAGAAGGTTCTTTTTTTTTCCCTTAAATTTTTATTAGTGAAACAACATGAGGTATAGTTGTAGACTTACAAATTTTTGTGCTTGGGTTTCAGTTATACAATGATCGAATACCCATCCCTCCACCAGTGCCCATTCTTCACCACCACCAGTTCCAGTATGCCTCCCCCCCTTCCCCCCACCCCACCCTACCACTGTGGTAGGGCATTGCCTTTTGTTATCTCTCTCCTTTTGAGTGCTGTGGTTTACAAAAGGGACATTGAGTGGCAATCTTGTTCGGACTACAATCTACTCTTATCACGCATTTCCCATCCTGAGAGGAACTTCCCAACATCCTTTATTTGGTGCTCCCTTCTCTATCTGAGCTGCCTTTTCCCCGAGCGTGTGCGGCTGTCCTCAAAGCTATGGAGTAATCCTCCTGGTACTTATCTCTGCTATTCTTGGGTGTTAGTCTCCTATTTTGTTAAGAAGGTTCTTTTCATGAGTTTGGTTTTATCATAGAAAGATCTCTTAAATGTTCTGGCAGGGGGGCTGGAGCAATAGCACAGTGGGTAGGGCGTTTGCCTTGCACAAGACTGACCCAGGTTCGATTCCCAGCATTCCATATGGTCCTCTGAGCACCACTAAGATTAATTCCTGAGTGCAGAGCCAGGAGTAATCCCTGTGAATCACCATGTGTGACCCAAAAAGCAAAAAAGGAAGTTCTGGCAAGGGTAAACGCAATGTGCAAAAAATTACATATAAAATGGGCCGATTTATAACAAATGAATAGAGACAAATCTATGAATTTGTATGTTTCTGTAAATTTTTGTGAGAACCTTGAAAGATCATGAGACCAGTAATAATTGTAGTCTTTCAGACTACAAAGAGGACTAGCAGGATAATAACTGAATTTTCTTTTCAAAGTTTTATTTTTGCATTTCCTAGAATTACTTGAACTTGTTGATGTCCTACTTGAGAGGATATTTAAAAGAAAAACATATTTTTCTTAAGTGAGGTTAAAGAAATTGTTTTGGGGGAATTAATAGTGTAGTTTAACATTATTCATCGATAAGATTTCAGGTTGAGGATGAGCTTAGTTGTACAGGGCATGCCTTCCATATATGAGGCCCAGGCTTCAATACCAGGGCCATGAGAAAGAGGGACAGAGGGAGAGGGGGAGAGAGAGAGAGAGAGAGAGAGAGAGAGAGAGAGAGAGACAGAGACAGAGAGAGACAGAGACAGGGACAGACAGACGGGGAGATGAGACAGACAGAGAGACACAGACACAGAAGAGACACAGAAAGAGAAATTCAGTTCCTCTACATATCAGGGGACTCACTGAGTGTTTGGTACATAGCCATGACTAAAAAAGGTCCTATTGTTGCAAAGGTTAGTTACTCTCCAGAGAATCAAGTCTTAAACCAACCTTCTACATTTTTTCATAATTTCATGTAAGAAATAGTTTCTGGGGCCACAGGTGGGATGGCAATCGTTTCTCATAGTGGAGAGACTTCATAAAGGTTGTTCTTTATTTGGTGCAGAAAGCAGAATAAATAGCCATAAGCCATCCCCATATTGATATGTCTGCTTTATCAAACTGCAATTTTCTTAAAGCAGCAAGGGCAAAAATAATATAAGTTTAATGAAATAGAGGTTCTGGGGTTGCTCTCATAATTCTTGGACCCTTTCCAGGACTGTTGCATGGGGAAAATCAGCCAACTCCAAACAGCTGACTTAGCAAACACTGCAGTAGCAGACTCTGTAAAGGGTCAACAGCCCAGTGCAGGCAACAGCTCTCTGGCATCCACACAACAGCTCTTGAACATGCTTTACTTCACGGTTGGATTCTTTCCATGACACAATAAGACATGATAATTAAAAGATAATGCGGATCTTTGAGACTCTTCCACCAATTGGAACTTATGTTTCTGAGGAGCCCTTCAGGCAAAGTGTTTCTATTTCATGGCAATCCTCCTTTCTCTTCTTTTCTTACACATGCAAATGAAAATTCCCAATTTTCAGCTGCCAGAACAGCTGAACACTGTTGTCATCAGAAAAACTGAATGCTTGGCTCAAAGAAGTAACTGCTCCTTAGAAATCCTTTTGCATTTTAGGGCAAAGGAAGAAAAATGTTTACAAATTCATCTCTTATGCAAGATGAATGTACTGAGCATGCAGAGCTTTTCACCCTGAAAGCATCTATAGCTCAGAATCATCGGTAAATTTTTAGGGTTTGGAAAAAATATTGTAACTAGTCACTGAATATTCAAGTCCAAAGTTCACCTCCAGCAGCGGCTTGTATTGGGGTACTTGGCCTTTTCATGAATTTTTCACACTTTTTACCTTACTCTGTATCCTAACTAGGTCTAAATTTATATAAAATGCTATTTTGTGAAGGCGTTCCTAAATCAGCTTCATTCCTACTTAAATTCCTATTTTTAGGTTATCCACACATCCCATAGATCATTTACCACGTGGCTCTGCTACTGCATATTTAACATTTTATTTACATTAGTTTATCATGTCACTTTATGATCAGCACCTAATGAATATGCAATGTGCTTTACTAAATTTTCTATAGGCAATAGTATGAATAATAATATGAATAACCTTATATATATTATGTCTACGGGTCACAAAAACCAGGAGATGGATATTTTTACTTTGTTAACAATTGAGGAAACAGAAATCTCAAGAGATTGTACATACGGCACTGACACTGAGATAAAGTCTATTTTACTTTAAAATCCAAGCTTTTGGGCTGGAGAAATAGTACAGTGGGTAAGGAGATTGCCTTGCACACAGTCAACCCCAATTTTATCCCTGACATTTCATATACCTACTGAACACCTTCAGAAGTAATCTTTGGGCACAAAGCCAGGGGTGAGTCTTTAGAATAGCCAGGTATGGCCCCAGTCCCAAAAAAGAAAAGAAGAAAGAAATAGAATGAAAACCCCCCTAAAATATTACCTTTAAGTAATAGTCAATGAGATTCAACAAATGTTTAGCAGGTATCAAGCTTTGTATTGTGTGCTATGCATACATTGCTTATATGAGTCTCAAAAAAGACCTTTGATGTAGATCATCATTTGCTTAATTTTTAAATGAAATTACAGTTCAGAATGATTAAATGACTTGTCCAAGGTCATAGAACTATGGGATGGATTTAAACATAAGTCATTATCTCCTCAAGCCCAAGCCCTTTGAAACTACTCTATTGTAGAACTACACATAATTTCTTTAAAGTTTGCAAATACAAAATAGCTTGTCAAGAATAATCCTAGAAACAAACTAGAGAGCTAACTCTCATGAATCATGCAAAAGAAGACAATCAACTTCCTAAACACTCACCTTAGCACATGTGTGGATCCATTAATGGTTGTGGTTGAACAGGGAACAGTCTGGCCCAGAATGGAAGGTCTTCGATAACGGTCATCATCACAGCAGAGAATGATGAGGAAGGCACGTCTAAAGGACTTATTCAAGAAGGCGTAGAGAAAGGGGTTTAATCCAGAATTGATGTAGCCAAGCCAGAGGAAAGCAGTCCACACCTGTCCAGGGACAGTGTAGTCTATGAATGGATCCACGACATTGGTGATGAAGAATGGAGCCCAGCAGAGGCAGAAGCAACCCATGATGATGCACAGGGTCTTAGCGGCTTTGGTTTCTGTCCTCATCCGATGAGTACTATGCGGGTCAGCTGTCTGGGGCCTGCTCTCTGAGGGGGCTCCTGCCCGTTGTAACATCTGGATCTGGCGGGCATGCTCCTTTGCTGTGACATAGATGCGATAATAGGCCAGCACCATAAGGAGAAACGGGATGTAGAAAGCTACCACAGAGCAGGTGATGGCATAGGGCTTGTTGACCATGAAGATGCAATACGTGGAATTAGAGTTCTGGTTGAACTTCCTCTTTTCTATCTGAGAGTTGTGGGAGACGGGGGAGGAAGGGGGGAAGTGAAGAGGAAAAAGCAAGAGAATGAAGAACATTGTACAAACAGAAAAAAGATAAAAAAGAAATTGTAAAGTGAATAGAATGGGAGCATGGGGGGTAGTATCAAAAAAAGAATAAAGAAAAAAGAAAAGAAGGGTTTATCAGCAAAGTTTTCTTTTTCTTACCCATATATTGTACATTAACCATGAAATTCAAAAAGGAGTGTGGTGGAGTTTCAGGGTTTTGAGGACAAAAGACCTCAGAAAATAGGTAGAAATAAAATAGACAAAAGTCTTTATTCTATATGCCCAACCAATAGTTTGGTTCTGCTCCCATCCCCAACCTGTCCACTTGCAAACAACATGCCAGTGTCTCAATAAGATGACTGCAAACAGTAACACCCAAATCACCTGGAGTGCTGATGACAAGTACAAATTCCCGGCCTCCCACCCAATTCTACTGTATCCAAATCGTTGAGCTCTAGGACTCAAATACCCGCATTTTTAACAAGCTCTTTTAAAAATCACTTTAAAGTTTATCAATATTAAAGAACAATTTCTCTATGTCATTCTGAGTTTAGCTGTTTGGGGGATGTCAAGGGCCCTTAATCTCTCTATATTCTTTGATCTGCTGGAATTTTACCACTTATATAGCAGGTTTTAATTGATAGGAAACAATGACGAATAGGGTATGGGATAAAAGTATATAAACTAGGGCAAGACCATGAAGGTACTAAAGCCCAACATAGCTAATATTCACAGATTCTACTTCCCACTGTTGCATGAGATGCACTTTATTTAGCTATTCAACCCCATCACTCAATTTAAATTCTTCTGGTCAAGATATTAAGGACCTGAAGGTTGAAAAGGCCAATTTATATCTTTTGACACAGCCTAATCCTCTATCTCTTTTTATCCCTTTGTACAATTATTTTTATTTCAGTAAAATGCTTAGATATACACATATTTGGAAGTCACACATATAACAGTGCTCATGTCTTACTATTGGCTGGGGGCTGGAGAGATAGTATAGCAGGTGAGGTGTTTGTCTTGCACATAGTCAATCTGGGCTTGAGCCCAAAACTTTATATGGTCCTTTGAACATATGATCGCTGAGCACAGAGCCAGAGATAAGCCTGAGCACCATTCAGTGTGGCCCCCAAAACAAAAAAAAACATTTTAAAAGTTACTGCTACAGGATAAACATATTCAACAATGATAGAGGAAAATGAGATCTGGTGCTACTATGGTAGGGTATAGTATCTCACATGTGTTCATTAGCTTATTTAATGGTTGCAATTTTATTTCATAAAGTCAGTGAAATACTCTGTGTTCCTGGACTCTACTTCCACTGTGTTCATATTAGGGTTTGTCTATGCTCTAATTGATTACAAAACATGTCCTGGGCACTCATATCCATGTAATTCCAATGCAGTGACTTTCTTTTAAAAAAATTTTTCTGACTAAATTTCTGCTCTGACTTCCTGATTGGCACTTTGTTCCCTTCCTAAGATCGGAGCATTGCCTTTAAAATTGCCTTGCTTTCATCAGCCCAAATTCTTCCAGCTATATCTTTAGTTTTAATCCTAATAAATCATCTCAAACTGCTCTCTGCATCTCTGTTTTCATGCTTAACCTGATTGAAATTTTGAATCAAGTCAAGTGAGCTTGAATTAAATCAAAATGGGTCAACATGGCACATCATAATTCTTATTGTGGTATTAATGTGCATTTCCTGATGAATAATGATGTTAATCACCAAATTGCTATTTAAATATCTTCTCTTGTGATGTGATTATTCAGGTATTTTTTCCCACATAAAAATGATATGTGCCTTTCTTACTGATTTTTTCATGTTTTCAAATGTTTAATTTTCTACATTTTCTTTTGCAAGTAATTCCTAGATCTTTGTACCATTATGCTTAAAAGTTCTTCACTTTAAGATTTATACTTTTACTATAAAATACCTTTTTAAAAATATCTTTGCTTATCCTTAAGTGTAAAGATAGTCTCACACCTCTTTTACTTCATTGGCCTATTATACTTCCTCTTTACATCTTTATCATTAATTTTTGTATCTAATTCTACTATCCATTTGAAATTACTGCTTTTGTATAGTCTGACATAGAATTCAAAATTAAGTTTTTACTTTGCAAATAGCCAATTGATCCAGTAGCATTGAGTGAAGTAACATTTCCTGTTATGTTGCAGTATACTCAGAGCCAGAAATTAGAGAATTCTGTATGCATAGGTATATGTCTGGATTTTCTATTCTGTTCTAGGGATTTTCCCATGCAGTCAGAATAATTTTGATAACTTTATAATGTTGAATATCTGAAATAAAAGTCTTCAAATTGTGTTTTATCTTCTTTAGGATTCTGAGCTATTTTTATACCTCAGAATTTCCATATAAAAGTTAAAATTAATTTACCAGTTAAAAAGTCAGCTAGTTTTAATTAAAGATAGAATACAATAAGAAAAGAGCATCTTTACAATATGTCTCTCAAGTTACAAATATAGTAGTTCCTTCTTGTTAAGTCTTTAAAAATTTATTTTAGTAATATTTATAAATTTTGTGTAAATGCCATGCACATATACTTATTGCTAAGTATCTGACTTTTAGTCCATTACAAATTATTAAAATGATTTTTATTTTGGTTTGGGGGCCACATCCATTAGTGCTCAGGGCTTACTCCTAGCTCTGTGCTTAGGGATCATTCCTGGTGCAGAGATCAGGGTACCATAAGTGGTTCCAAGAATTGAACCTAGGTAGGCAGCATACAAGGCAAAGGTCCTATCAGCATTACTATATCTCTGGCTCTATTAAAGTTGTCAATTAAAATTGCTCATTGCTTATATATAGAACTCAGTGAAAAAATTGTATTTTGGCTCTGTATCTAGCAACTTTGTTAAATGAATTATTAATAATGAATCTATTTCTTTTGGATAGGGCCCAAGCAGTGGTTAGAGGGACAGGGAACTTTTCCCAGTGATATTCAGTACAACTGCGTAGGTCTGAAAGCTCAGGGCTCTGACCAGTGATAAAGACTACTTGGACTCAGTGGTGAGAGGTGCAGTAAGGCTACACCAAGAAATGATGGGAGGAATGTGGGCCGAGGGATAGAAGTCAGGGCCCTGCATATTAAAGTATGTGCTCCAGCCCTCTGCACTTCTTCCCAGTCCTTTCATCTCTAGAATCTTGAATTTTCTCCAGGAACACTCATGTGGTCTGAAAATAATGGCAAGTTTGCCTTTCCCTTTCTAATCTTCATCCTACATTTGTCGCATTTTTTAACTTTATATGATCTCTAGGAAATTTTTGAATAAAAGTGGTTAATAGCAGACACTATTGCTGCATTTCCCAATTTAGAAAGGGAGCCACAAATGTTTTACTATTATTCATGATAGTTGCTGTAAGCTTTTTGTTAATGCCTCTATTTGATTGAGAAGTTACCCCTACTCTTAGTTTGATGTGATATTTTTAATGGGTATTAAATTTTATCAATGCATTTTTGGCAGTAATGAGATGATAATGTGGGCTTCCCATCTTTGTTTTATTAATATAGAAAATTACATTAAAATTACATTGATTCCTGGTATAAACCAACTTTTATTGGATACTATGGCACACTTGATTTCCTTTAAGGACAGAAAAGACTTTTCTCTCAAGTAACTGCCCATGGAGAGCTCTTAATCATCAGACTTCTTTAGGGATCTGTTGGCTGAAGCGTGCTTTGAAACTCAGGGTTGTTTTCCTTCTGAGGTCAGGTTACATTAGTAATATTATACACATGCGTAAATATATAACTAAAAATATATAGGAAATGTACATATGCACTTTCATTACTTATGCACACATTTATTATCGCAGAACCTATTGTTAAAACCTATTGTTCATGTTCCTATTAACACTCAAAAAATGAAAGGATTTCATATCAAGTATTATCACTTGTCTTAAAATTATTTTATCACTTATAATAGTACAACTATGCCAGCTTTCCTTTGATTTGTATTTTCATGTTGTATATTTCCATTATTTTATTTTCTAAACTTTCTAAACACCATAGATTACACTAATTGATGAAAATATTGTGACCTGGGACTAACAGGAACCTAAATTTGTATTTCTTGTAGGAATAAAAATCCTTTATTTACTAATTCATGTCTGCAGCAACATAAAAGAACAACCTATCAAGGAATAACCAGAAACAACTGTATGCATGTTGTGAACATGGGGTTGTACTGTCTTATTTCTAGGTGGATTCAATATAAAAATAAATAGAATGCTATGGAATCTATTCACACTGTCATTGGTTAAATAATAGGCATGTTTATGGTGACTAGATTGCCCTATTGCCCGTTTATATAAAGCTCTTAATGGATGCATCTCTCTGATTTTCATAAACAGACAGCTCCCTAGGTTCTGCTGTAGTAGGTTACACCCTCTTTAGACATTTTGATGTATAAAATATACTGTTCTAAAGATCTCTAGAAACAGTTAAGTTTACCACAAATATTAAGAACCTAGATACAGTCACCATTACTCCTCACAAATGTGACCAGCTAACATCTTCGATCCCCAGTTTCCTAAGAATAATTGTCAAGACTGTATGACAGTTGCAGGAATATTGATTAACCAGAACTCAGCACACAACACGTATTCATCTGTTAGCCATTTTTAATGTTCTATTGATTGTTAAGAATGTAAAATTAGGGGCTGGAGCGATAGTACCGAGGGTAGGGCATTTGCCTTGCACGTGGCAGAACTCAGTTCACTCCCCGGCATTCCATATGGTCCCCTGAGCACCACCAGGAGTGAATCCTGAGTGCAGAGCCAGGAGTAAACCCTGAGCATAGCTGAGTGTGGCTTAAAAAGCAAAAAAAAAAAAGTAAAAATAAAATTTCACCTAAGAGTAATAAAACTGAAAGTTTGAAAGAAGATGAATAGGATTCCGTAAAATATTCATCTTATCTTCGTTGTGTGGATCTCTTTTCTCTTTTCTTCTTTTGTTCCTCATTTTTCTTTCAGAAGCCAAGAAACTCTTGCTCTGATATACCATGCATATCCTGGCCCTGCCTTGGCTTAAATATCTTTTGCTGACAAAGAATGAGGCTGGGAAATGGATTGAAGAGGGAAGGGAGCATCTACAGTAATCAACTCAGTGTGGCTGGAGCTAACTCTCAATATCTCCTCTCTATTCTCCCTATGCCTGGACATGGTCTTACAATAATTTCCTCAGGGACTATATGTGCCTGTAAATGAATCCAGATCATAGTAGATTTTTCTTTAATTCATCACAGGTTTGGCATCACAAACATAGTTTGTCAGAGCTGGGCAATTCTCAAAGGTCTTACAGAGAGTGGTTGGCATGAACCTGGCACATGAGTACTGGTGCTGCTTACCCACACCCTAGAAGACATTAGATTCCATTTAGGATCGATGAGATTTCTAGGGATGTGGGTTGCTGACTGTTCTGGACCCAGGGTTGTGTTTATGGCCCAGAACAGTCTTAATTATTTGACATTTCTACCCAAATTACATGTGTTCAAAGGGTCATTGTAATGCTCCTGGATTCTCAGTAAGAAAAGTGTTGAGGGCCTTTTTAAACACATCATACACCCCAGATGCTGAAGTCTTATTGTAAGGTTTAAAATGCCTGTTCTGATATTAACTAGGCATATTACTTGTCATGTGAACTCATCTTCTTGAGTCTGGCTTTTCTCATGGGGATGAGATGAGTCAAGGGTGTTATCACGATGGTAGGAAAAATAGCCTTGTATACTTTCTTGCAAAGAGCAAGAAGGTAAACATTCAAAAATGTTACCTTGCTCTTTGTTTCAATCTTTCATCCCGATTACTATCTGAATACTTCTTAGGTTATCTACCCAATTGGACATTGTTTATTTATCTAGAATGCCAAGCAAAGTGAATTGGACAGTAAACCAGCAGAATCTAACTGGGTACTCACCATATCAATGATGCCAATGCTATTCCAGCCTTGCATGATTGGCAGAAAAGAGATAAACATGGGAATGACCCAGCAGCCTCCCAGCATCAAGGCAATGCGCAGAGGAGTCATCTTGTTTCTATAGACCAAGGGCTGGCAGCAGATAGCATAGTACCTAGAAAGAGGATAGTGCAGGCAGGTGCAAGAAGAAAGGAGGGAGATGAGGGAGAAGAGAAGGTGGGAAAAGTGGTAAGGGAGAGTAATGAAGAAAAGAGATAAAAGTGGATTTGTGGGAGGGGGCAGGAAGATGAATGAACAAAAAGAAAGGAGAATAAAAACAAATAATAAAGCAAAAAGGAAGTATGGGTGAAAGGACAGTATGGGTAAAAGAAGGGAAGAAAGAAGTGATGAAAAGAACAGAATAATGAGAAGCTAATTCTACAATAAAATATGCTATATTTGTCAATGAGTTTCTGGCAATGTACCAGACTGACATCTCTCTTCCTCTCCCAGTACCTGAGAAGTCTACTCTGTCTGAGCACAGAGCCAACGCTACTCTGATGCCTGAGGATTTCTGGAACTTGTATCCAGACTCCTGGGCCTCAGTAACTCTTTGGGCATCCATAATCCTCTTAGATAACAACCCGAGGTGACCAATGCTTGGTCCTCTTTCTATGAGCTCAGGGATGTCCTAAGTGAGCATTCCCTAAGATTTGGTCTATATATTCATGCTAGGCCTCCTAGTTCAGACTTGTCTGAGGAGGTCTATTTAAAATACAGATATCAACAATATCTTGAATCAGAGCATGCTAAGTTAAGACTTGGAGCTTGCATTTTGACAAACAGGAATCGTTACTGCTGTTTGTTAAGTATTCACAGTTCTCAAACAGGGTATGTCCACTTCCTGACTTTCTTAGGGTCCAATGGAGCTAAGAAATGGACCTGGTCAATGAGTGGTGAACAAAATTGACACAAATTACTTCTGGGACAACCATTTAATTGACTTTTAGATACCAAAAATGTAAAGTTGAAAATATTTCCCACCACATCACTTCCTAGTTGCTGGAAGAGACTATCTTATCTCCATTTATCAAGATCTAATCTTCAATCTGGGATTCCTGTTTGTTCTATTCCTCAGTTCATACTCTGCCTCTGTTATTAACTTTTTTTTTACCCCCAGATAGAGGTGCAACCTGCCCACTCAATGATCTTGTCCCAGACTGCTCCTTTCATGAATTAACAGACAATAAACTTCTGTTGTTTCAAGATGCTCAGCTTGTATTCTTTGCTCTGATAACCCTTAGCAAATTAATACAGCTGGCAAAATAGTTGCTTACAAACAATGTCTTGCTCTAGTCTTTGAGATACCCACATCTATGTCCAGGCAGTTCATGGAATTTAACAATAGGCAAAATATCATGGTAGGTCTATCAGCTGTTTGTCTTTGCAGAATGTCACCTTTCATGATAAGTTAATTCTTTAAAATTTTATAGCATTTCATGATGAGCCACCCCCTTCTACCACTCATTTCAGACAGTTCATTTTGTACTTTTTCCCCACCTCTTCTTTCTTTTCTTAAATCAGAGAATCACAATATAACAATGGCTGTGTTCCTTGAAGAGGTGGTGGTAGGATGAATTGGGAGACAGGGTAAAATGAGAAGGACAACTTAGTGTGGGAGCCTGGGAAGTGAGTGCATTGCAGTTGGGGTGGAAAGGTTATACCATTCATTCTTATTTCAAGGAACAACTGACCCCTGTGCCCATCAGTTCCTGTGGCCAGACAGACAATGGGGTATCATAGTTTGGAGCACTGCACAAGAAACAACAGGCCAAAGAATAAAAAAGGTGCTTGTTCAGGAACTCGGGTTCTTTACTAAAAAAAGAGGCAAAAACTAAGACAACTGATAATAAAAAGATTCACAACTATCTGAAATTACTTCCAACTTTACAAAGGGCAAATTACATTAGTAGTGACTCTTTTTCTATGAATGAAAACATTAGTGATCACCATTGGTTTACTATTGACATTATAAATGAAGAAGTTATAAATGAACATTATAATGATGACATCATAAATTAAAAAGCTTATAAAAATACATATAAAAACCTTCTTCCTTCATCACTTCCAATAAAAGGCCTAATTTAAACATGTGGTAAAAGAAATAAAAAATAAATAAAGGTGGGGAGGGGAGGGGGACAACAAAATAAAATAAAATAAAAATAAAGATGTGGTAACATCCACTTTGATATGCCAAATCCAGTAATAAATGGATCTCATTTCCCTAACCCTGAGTATGCAGAGTCGAGAAGGATATGGAAGGAGAGGCTGATAAAATACCAAGGCAGAAATAGGCTGCCAAAACGCAGAAAAACAAAAATGATTGTCTGTACTTTTAATGCTCGTACGCTGGCATCTGCTGCATCCATTGAATACCTTATGGTACAAGCGCGAAAGATCAAGTACGACATCATTGGTCTGACCGAAATGAGAAGACATCAATCACATCATGCCGCTTTCGACACTGGAGAAGAACTGTTCCTTGGAACATGTGATAAAAGAGGCGTTGGTGGTGTCGGTATCCTTGTCAACACAAACTTAGTCACGAGCATTGATTCATTCGAATGCCTAACAACCCGAATCGGACGATTATACTTGAATAAATGTGGCTCACTACCGGCAGTTTCTATCTTTGTTGTCTATGCACCAACATCCAGTTATGGTGAAAGAGAAACTGAGAAATTCTACATGAAGCTGGAGAAGTTCTATAAAGAAGATCACACCTTCTACAAGATCATTGTCGGTGATTTTAATGCCAAGATAGGACCAAGAAGATCAGTCGATGAACTCCACATCGGGACCCATGGCCTGGAATGGAACGAACAGGGTGACAGACTGTCTGAGTTCATCATGTCAACCAAAACCTTCCATGGTAACTCACAGTTCCAAAAGGCTGAATCTAAACGTTGGACATGGGAGTTTCCCGATGGACGGTTCCACAATAAAATAGACCACATCATATTCAATCGGCGGTTTTGCCTAACCAATGTTGCTGTTGTCCCAAAATTCCAAACGGGATCAGACCACCGTCTTCTTCGTGCAAAATTCTACCTCACAGAACGAGGAGAAAAGAATGCAAGGTTTAAGAAGAAGACTCCCAGAACAACCACCAACTGGGAGCTCTTTGGCTCTGTTGCAGCAACATGGGAAGATGCCGTCATTGACAACATTGATGAGGAATACGATCGAATGATTCAGCACCTCCATGATTGTGCAAGGAATGCCAAGAGAGAGATAACCACAAAAAACTTCCTTTCTTCGAACACTCTTGAACTTATTCGCCAACGTGGCTTGGCACATGCCTCAGGCAACCACAAGCGAACATCTGAACTGGCAAAACAGTGCAGAGAACCCATCAAGGATGACCTCAAAAACAGGAGAGCAGCAGTACTGGTAGATGCAGCAGAAGCTGGGAAAAGCATTCGTAATGCCCGCCTGTCCTTCAACAACTACAAAACCAAGATGACTGCCTTCCGACATCATGATGGATCTATCACATCTTCCAGAAGGGCAATGGAGAAGATTATTCATGACTTCTACTCAGATCTCTTTAATAGCCATGTCCACTTGCCCACATACCACATACCACATGATGGATATGTCGTTCCCAATGTTCTCCCTTCCGAAATCCAACATGCCATCTCGTCGGTAAAGAAACAAAGAACACCTGGCCCAGACAAGATCAGACCTGAACACCTGAAGAACTTACCATCAGTACTCATCAATACATTGGCTCGGCTCTTCACACGCTACCTGTCTGAATGCAAGGTTCCATCCCAGTGGAAAACCAGCAGGACTGTACTACTATACAAGAAGGGAGACATCCACGACATTGGCAACTATCGCCCAATCTGCCTATTGTCTGTCATCTACAAACTGTTCACTCGAGTCATCCTGAATAGGATTAGCAGAACACTAGATGAAGGACAACCATGTGAACAAGCTGGATTCTGAAAAGGATTCAGTACCATCGACCATATCCACACGATTACTAAGCTCATTGAGGTTTCTCGGGAGTTCAAGATGCCTCTCTGTCTAACGTTCATTGATTTAAAGAAGGCCTTTGATTCTGTTGAGACGGAAGCGGTCATGGAAGCCCTAGCCAATCAGGGCGTACAAACTCAATACATCAGGATCCTTCGTGAGCTCTATTGCGGATTCACTACCAAGATCTCACCATTCTTCAAAGAAGTAACCATCCATATCAAGAGAGGGGTTCGGCAGGGTGATATCATTTCACCAAAATTCTTCAGTGCCACCCTCGAGAACATCATGCGACGACTGGAATGGGAAAGCATGGGAGTGAAGATAGATGGTCGGCAACTACACCACCTCTGCTTTGCTGATGACATCGTTCTAATAACACCAAACATCAGCCAAGCAGCACAAATGCTGAACGACTTTGACTGTGAATGTGGAAAGGTCGGACTACAGTTGAATCTTACGAAGACAATGTTTATGAGAAACAGCCTTGTTCCTGATGCTCCATTCGCTCTCAACGGAACCACCATCTCCGAATGCAACAATTATATATACCTAGGTCGAGAAATCAACATGATGAATGACCTGGCACCTGAGTTACACAGGAGGAAGAGAGCGGCTTGGAATGCCTTCAAGAGCATTGAAGAAATAACTAAAAGGACAAAGAACCTCCAGCTACGAGCACATCTCTTTGATTCCACTGTTCTTCCTGCGTTAACATATGCCTCAGAGACCTGGACCCTACAAAAACGGGATGAGAACGCTATTCGGGTCTCTCAAAGAGGAATCGAAAGAACTATGCTTGGAATATCACGATTCACTCAAATGAGAGATAGAATCCGGAGTTCTGATCTTCGTCAACGCTCAAGAATCAGGGACGCTGTCTCATTTGCCAACACATCAAAAATCAGATGGGCTGGACATGTAATGAGGTTTACAGACAACCACTAGACTAGAGCCATTACTGATTGGATTCCACGGGACATCAAAAGATCACGTGGACACCCACCTACAAGATGGTCAGACTTCTTCGTCAAGACCCTAAATGATCGATTTGAGGCTCTGCATGTTCCTAGAACGAACAGATACCATTGGGCTACACTAGCACGCAACCTGGATGAATGGAGACGTTAC